CTTTGTCGAAAACATACACATTCGCTTTGGCGTGTAAATTGTTTTTGAGTATAACCGATCCCGAGCACATAAAGAGGCTGGCCGATCCCTTCACCCTCGTGACTAATGGAATGTTCTCCGTGCCTATTGATTTTCTTAAGATTTTTAAGATTGTTTGAAACAATATTTTCAAACATAGGCTTACTGTCTAATAGAAACTCAAGCACGAATTGACAAGTCGAGCTAGCAGGTCATGTGCACATTGCCAAATCCACAACTATGTCAATCCTTTCCCTTCATAAAACTCGATTATTCATTCAAGTTCAACTCTTTTACAAAAATTTATTTACTAAACCATCGAATTTGGTTTCTCGACCAATCAAGGATATAGCCACCTTCATTCTCATTCTTTTGTAATTTTATTCTTCATTTCTTTCCACAAATAATATCAAGTCAATGTAAATAGGTCTCTACTTGCATCTTTTTAAAGATTTATGGAGGGTGTATTTAATTGAAACTTTTAAATACTTTTTTTTAAGTGATGAATTTTTGTGGAATTGTGGACTTTTTAAATATTTGTATGAAATTAATGAAAGTCTTTCATTAACTTTTATAAACTTTTATTTTTAAACTTTCATAGACTTTTAGGGGTGTATCGATTGAGATTTTTTAGATTTTAAAAGTTTAGCAGAATTCATTCGTGCCTGATCATTGCTATATAGTATCACTTGTGCTAGAGTATCAATTTAGATGACTACACTAGATATTTCATTTAAATGAATCATGTGACAATACATTTAAATAGATCTACCATTTAATGTCATTCAGTTTATACTTAAACTATACTTGACATCAATGATGATAAATAACATTACCTCTCTAAAGTATTATTGTATTCAACGTAGACTTTTATTCATTTGACTTTCGAAGAATTTCATTTAAAACGGAATCCACTTGAGACTAGCACAATAGAGAGTTTCTCATCTAGGAGGTAGAGGTTCGATCTCAGCCATACACTTCTTCCTCCCCCATGTAATAAAAAATATTATCAAAAAATAAAAATTTAAGCAACCTCAATTAATTAAATAAATATTTAAAACTCAATATTTATATAACATTTAAATTTTTTATAAAAGAAATATCCAATGTTCAGTATTATCCATACTTTAGATATTTAAATGTAAATAATCAATTAGTATATTTAAAATTTAATTACAAATTAGTATTTTTTATATATATATAAATATAAAATCTTATAAAATTTAATTACAGAATGATATTCTTCATAAAAATTGGACGAGAAAAGGAAAATGTTATATATATGATTTTCTTATATATAATTTATTCTTTTTTTGTAGAAAATGGGAGAGATTTGGTAAAAAAGAAAGGAAAAAGGGAATGAGAACAGATATAACCGGTAGAAGAAAAAATAATAATGACTACATCATAACTCTAAGGTTCATAAAAGAAAAGAGGAAAGAGAAATTTTGAATGAACAAAATATATATTTAAAAATGTTTAAGCGAATGAGAGATGAATTTTGAAATTTTGTTCTTCTACTTTATGCT